TTTCCCTAGCGGTTTCCTCTCTTTATAGGAGCAGAGCACCAAAGTGCTCTGCGACAATGTTGAAAAACACTGATCCCTCAGGGTTCAGTACTCAGACACCACTGGTCACATTTTGCTGTGTTGCTCAGTTCTGTCCATTAACATTCTCTGGGTCCCACTCTGGAACCAGTTTCCTAGCCACCAGATCATTAAGTTGTTGAGGCTGCAATTTTCCAATTTGAACTTGAGGATGTTGTGGGAGACGAAGTCAAAGGCCTTTTTAAAATCCAAGTATATGACTTCAATTGCTCTCTTATCCAGGTGGTGAGTTACCTGATTGTAGAAGATGAGGTTGGTCAGGCACGACTTGCCCACAAAAAAGCCATGTTGGCTTTCTTAGAATACTGCCTTCTGTTAGCCGATTGCTGATGGATTCTTTGATCACTTTTTTTTTTTTTTTTCCAGGGATCGAGGTTAGACTGATTGGCCTTTAATTCCCTGGGTCCTCTTTCCTTCCTTTCTTGAAGATAGGCACCACACTGGCCCTCTTCCAGTCTTCTGGGACCTCTCTCAAGCACCATGAGTTCTCAATTAGTTTTGCCATTGGTCGTGTGATGACATCAGACAGTTCGTTCAGTGCTCTCGAGTGTAATTCATCTGGCAGATTGAGGCCCCCACAGTGAGGGAGGGAATGAATAGGGCTGGAGTTGGGGCTGGGGGTGCTGCCCAGCCAGGGTGAATGGGACCACAGGGCAGGGGTGGGATGGAGCTATGGGTGGCTCGTCCAGGGGATCAGTGTCTGGGTGCTTAAAAATGTTCAAGTGCCCCCACTACCTAAAACTTGTCAAATTAACTTTAGTTCAAGTGCCGCCACCATTTTTTAAGTGTGGGGATGCTTTTAGGAATGCTTTTAGCGGGGTGAGGGCAGAGGTGGGCTGCCTGCTGTGGGCTCAGCACTGTCCACCCTGCTGCCATTGCCCTGGGAGCCACATGCTGGCTGCACTGTGTCCCTTGCCTGCCTGGTGGCATAAGGTACAACTTGCTGCCCCCACTGCCACTGGATGGTCAGGGGGCATGTGGCCAGTGCAGGGCTCCCAGGGCAAAGGTAGCAGAGTGGAGAGCCCTGAGCCCACAGCGGGCAGCCTGCCTCCATCCCTCTCACACCTTGGGGGGCACATACACCTCCATGCCTTCCCTGGTGGTGCATGCAGCACTGAGGAGTTGCTCCCCTTCCCTCCCTGGACAAGCCACCTGTGGCTCTGTCCCAATCCCCACCCTGGTCCTGGGGTCCCATTCATTGTTTTGGCCTGGCAGGGCCTCCAGCTCCAGTTTCAGCACCTGTCCCACTCACTCCCTCACCATGGGGGGGGGGCCTCTATTTGCCTTCCCCCTCTTTTTCCCGCCCCCCCCCCCCATGCCCTTTCTCCTTCTCCCCCACAGACTTACCTGCAGGGCACTTCTCTCCATGCTGCCAGGCTTCACTCCTGGCTATGTGGATGGTGTGGTTGTGAGCATACATGTGATGTCTGGGGGCCCCAGCCAGAAGGCATATTATATTTATTGGTATATTATTGGCTACACCAGGGGTGGGCAAAATGCAGGAGGGGGTATGGGGGACCAATGTCCCCCAGATCTGTGCATGGGGCAGGTGTGGGCTGCCTGTTGTGGGCTCAGGCTCCCCCCTCTGCTGCCCTCCCTGGGGCCTCTTTTTAGCCCAGCAGGTGCAACCTGCTGCTGCAGGGCTGGGTGGGGAAGCTGCTTGCCACTGCGAGTTCTGCGCTGCCCTGGTGATGCATCCAAGGCCCGCATGGCAGCAGTGAAGGGCACAAGCCCGTGTTGCGTACCTTGCGTGTATGGCAGCAGCAGGGGCTGCTGTGCTCCTGCCTGGCAGATTCTGGCTGGTGTCTGTGCCAGTGGGATTGGTGGTGGTGGTGGTGGGGGGCGTATTTAAAACCCCGCTCTGTTTGCTTTAGGCTGCTGCCAGGACCGGCCACATCCCCTGCTGCTCAAGTGGGCGTGGGGGTTGGGGAATGCCTGACTGGCTGCTATGCCCAGGCAAGGCAGACCAAGGCTGGGGTACCCAGGTACATTTCTGTTTGCCTTCCTTTCCCTTCTGTTGTGGGCCATACTGAGATTCTGTATTAGTAAAGGAACAAAGAGATAACTGGAGAGTATTATGAGAGCAAATAGAAAGTGGGCGCCTCTCTATAGACAGCAGTTGCAAACAAAAGAATCAATTTTTATGTCTATGAACTCCAGGAGGGGAAGTGTAGACAGTGCATCTTCAACAATATAGTAGCAATAGCTGGTTTCCACTCCCCTTCCTGGTTCATTTTGATCTTCCCTAGTATTAACCATTAGCACTGATGCTGGCCAGTGTGAGAGGAATGAGGAGGAGGTGCTCAAAAAAGAATGAGAGCTTCTTTTGTGGACAGAATGAAGAGTCCAGTGGAGGGCAACGAAAATGGTACAGGGCTGGAGCATATCACTTACCAAGAGAAGCTGAGGGAGTGGGCTTATTTAGTTTAGAGAAGAGAAGACCTGAGAGGGGATTTAATAACGGCATTCAACTACCTGAAGCAGGGTTCAAAAGAGGATGGAGCTAGATTGTCAAAAGTAGACTGAGGAGGGATTGGACTGCATGACCTGAGGTCCCTTCCAACCCTAATTTTCTGTGATTCTTTAATGGAAGTGCCCTAAGTGTCTTAATACAAGATTGTTGCAATTTAAGATTGTTACAGATCCCAATTTTTTAATGTCACCAGGAGCTTTGAAAAATCTCTATCCAGAAGTTCTTATTAGCACTGTTTCTTGTAACTGTTTTCTGTATTTCATTAATTTATATAATTTATTTATAGGTTTAAATAACTCATATGCAACAGTAACAAGTCCTAATTTCATATCCATTGCTGTAGAGATGTTTTTTTCACTGCAGTGTTATGGTTTCTCGTAGACTAAATTTAACCTAATAATACATGTCAAAACAAGAACAGAAAACAAAATTAATGTATGCTTCATCTGTTCAGGGAAGTTTTATGAAAAAATACTGATAACAGTAGTTAATAAAATAGAATGCTATTTCTAAATCGCATTTGTTAAGAACTTCTTTTCTGCTTCATGGGATCTTCTATGCTATTCTTATAGATATTAAAGATAAGATGTTAATGCCTACAAATACACAAAGCTTTCCTCTTTCCCGATGTCATAGGGATAACGGAGACCTGGTGGGACTCCACCCATGACTGGACCACGGGTATAGATGGCTATACCCTGTACAGGAGGGATGGTGTAGAGAAAAGGGGCGGGGGAGTAGCTCTCTATGTTAAGGAAAACTACACATCCCTGCAAGCTGATATTGGCGACCAGGGTGGATGGCTGGAGACCCTCTGGGTTAAAATCCATGGGGAACACAGCACAGGGGACACAATGGTGGGAGTCTACTACAGACCTCCCACCCAAAGTCCTGAGCTTGACCAGTAGTTTGCCCAGGAACTGGCTGAGGCAGCTTGCTCCAGGACCATGGTTGTCATGGGTGACTTCAATTACCCGGACATCTCATGGGAGGATCGCTCAGCAAAATCTGAGCGGTCGCAGATCTTCCTCTCGTGCGTGGATGACCTCTACCTGACTCAAGAAGTCTATGGGCCAACGAGAGGCAAAGCGCTGCTTGACCTGGTACTGGCTACTGGGGATGACCTAGTCGGCGACCTGGTGATCGATGGGAAGCTGGGTGACAGCGACCACGAGCTGATCACCTTCACCATCCGCCGAAAAGCTGGCAAGTCAGTCAGCAACACGGAAGTCCTTGACTTCAGGAAAGCCGACTTTGACAAGCTCAGGAGGCTTGTAAGTGAGGCCCTAAGGGACCATGACCACAGGGAGAGGGGAGTTCAAGAGGAGTGGTTGCTCCTCAAGGGAGCGATCCTCAATGCACAAACTAAGTCTATTCCATCTCGGAGGAAAGGCAGCAAGAGGGCACAGCAGCCCCCCTGGCTCTCCAGGGACCTAGCAGACCTCCTGAGGCTAAAAAGAAAGGCCTACAAAGGATGGAGGATGGGAGTCACCTCCAAGGAGGATTATTCTGCACTGGTCCGGTCCTGTAGGGAGCAGACCAGGAAAGCCAAGGCTGCAACTGAACTCCAGCTAGCTTTGAGCATCAAGGACAATAAGAAGTCCTTTTTCAGATATGTGGGGAGCCGGAGGAAAAGCAGAGGCAACATTGGACCCCTGCTGAGCCAGATGGGGCAACTGACAACTGACGCCCAGGAAAAAGCCAACCTATTAAATAGGTACTTTGCGTCAGTCTTTCATCAGTCCCATGGGACGCCCATGCCCGCTACAGGGCCGGGAAGTCCGGGTGAGGGTGATCCCCTGCCCTCCCTTAATGCTGACTTTCTGAAGGAACATCTTGAGAAGCTGGATACCTTCAAGTCAGCTGGCCCTGACAATCTTCCCCCCAGGGTACTCAAGGAGCGGGCGAGCATCATAGCCCAGCCTCTAGCACGGATCTTTGAAAACTCTTGGCGCTCTGGTGTAGTGCCCGAAGACTGGAAGAAGGCCAATGTGGTGCCTATCTTCAAGAAAGGGAGGAAAGTGGATCCGGCTAACTATAGGCCCATCAGCCTGACTTCTATCCCGGGGAAGATCTTAGAAAAGTTTATTAAAGAGGCCATCCTTAATGGACTGGCCGACGCCAACATCTTAAGGGATAGCCAGCACGGGTTTGTTGCGGGTAGGTCTTGCTTGACCAATCTCATTTCCTTCTACGACCAGGTGACCTATCACCTGGACAAGGGAGAAGAGATTGATGTCATATATCTTGACTTCAAAAAAGCCTTCGATCTGGTGTCCCATGATCGCC